CTTCTTTTGGAATTAGAGTTATGCTGGCTTCTATCCAGGAGTCTGGTAATTTAGCTTTCTCCAATACATCATTCCAGGTCTTCATACAAAGTCTTATACACTTCCCCAGGTAGACCATCTGGCCCCGGAGCTTTATTATTTTTTTGCTTTTGTACTGCCATTCTTAGTTCCATTGCTGTTATTTTTTTATTCAATAAAAATTTGTCCTTCTTTTAATTCTGGGACACCATTGACCTTTAAATATTGTTTTATATTTTCCTCCTCTATTTCCTCTTTCTTATATAGAGACTCCAAATATTTCTGAATTATTTTTTTCTTTTCATCTATTTTATATTGCACCTCTCCATTTTTGTCCTGTAATTCCTGAATAAATCTTTTTTTCTTTTCTTTTTTTAATTTATAGGCAAGCCATCTCCCAGGGTTATTTGCATGTTCGAAAAAAATTTGTTTGGTTATTTTCAATTCCCTTGTCAATTCCTCTTGTTCTATTATATTTATGTTTGGCCAGAGTCATTTCCTCTTTAATCCTTTCATCTTGTGGCTCCCGCTGTAATTTGGATTCTAATTTTTTGATCTCATCCAGAAGTATATTCTGTGTCTGTCTTTTCACCTTATTTTTCCTAGTCGCGTATGCTATTGCTATACCTCTGAGATATGCTTTGGCAGTGTCCCATATGATTTGTAATGATGTTTGTTGTTTAGTGTTCTCTTTAAAGAATAATTCCATCTCTTTTTTTGATCCTTGTAATAAATTCTCTTTCCTTTAAAATTTGGGTTATAAGTGTCCATCTTCTCTTTATTTTTTTTCTGACCTGTCCACATTATCTTCAGGGAGTTATGATCTGCCCATATTATTTCTATTGTCTCCATTTCTTGCCCCATTTCCCCATTCATCCATGCCATGTCCAACATTGACCATGATTTGTGTGGATTTGAAAAAAGGTATATTCCTTTTTCATAGGGTTCTGTTTTCTCCATGGGTCAAATAAATTGAATTCCTGTGCCATCTCAAAAAATACTTTTGGTAGTGTTTTTCATTTCTTTTTATTTTTCATATTGCTAATATAATCCATTTTTACGTCCACTATTGCATTATAATCTCCTAATATACAAATATTTCTTTGTCTAATTTCAATAAGGTTTCAAAATGTGGTGGAGGATAGGGAAGAAGATTTAGGCACCATTATGGTAGAGCTGATAGCAGAAGCTCTACAAAGAAATAAACAAGAAATATTGCCAGAAATAGACGAGGTCTACCGAATTCACACAAATTATGCTTGAAGGAAAAAATTACCATGTGAGATACATGTAAGATTCGCCAGAAAAAAAAATTAGAGACCTAATATATAGGATTATGAGGGAAGATCCAATAATTTATAAAGGTATAGAAATTCAAACACTCAAACAAATTCCAAGGAAAGTGAGGGAACAGAGAAGAGACCATAGATTTCTTAGTGCACATCTTATTAAAAAAAAACATTCCATTCAGATGGTTAATCCCGGAGGGGATGCTGATAACATGGCAGGAGAAAAGGATTAAAATTGATACCTTGGATAAGGCAAGAGAATTTTATGAACAATTAGAAGGGGAAGGGGAAGGGGAAGGGGAAGGGGAAGGGGAAGGGGAAGAAGAAGAAGAAGAAGAAGAAGAAGAAGAAGAAGAAGAAGAAGAAGAAGAAGAAGAAGAAGAAGAAGAAGAAGAAGAAGAAGAAGAAGAAGAAGAAGAAGAAGAAGAAGAAGAAGAAGAAGAAGAAGAAGAAGAAGAAGAAGAAGAAGAAGAAGAAGAAGAAGAGAATAGTAGTAGGGAATAACTAGAATTAGAATCCAAACGTCAAGAAGATCAGCAATTAGAGTTAAGAGAGAGAAGGAGAGAGAAGGTAAGGAGGCAAGAAAACAAAGGAAAGAAAGAGGAACAGGTTCAAGAACAAGACAAACCCAGAAGTAAAATAATGGATGGGAAGATTAGATTAGTATCAATTAATGTTAATGGCCTAAATGCACCAGTTAAAAGAAAACAAATATTAACAAAATTAGTTAAACAAGGTGTAGACATAGTATGCTTACAAGAAGTGCATATAAAAAGATTACACAGAACATATTTGGAATTTCCGAAACTAGGAGAACTATATACATCTCTAATGGAACAAAAACAGAGAAGAATAGCAATCTATATCAGAAAAGGAATTAGAGCCAGTTTAAAATATCAAGATACAGAGGGAAGGGTATTAATACTAGAATTACAAATGGAACAGAAATCATGGTTACTGGTGACAATTTATGCTCCAAATGAAAACCAAAAAGAATTTTATAAAGTCCTACACTATCATCATTCTTCTTGATTTAGGCAGTAAACAAATTCAATTCCCTTGAAAATTTAAATTATTTAAATTGTTGTAATGAATGCAAACAGCCAGTACAGTAATCCATTTATTTCCTCTTATTTTTTTCACTCAAAGTACACCTAAAAACAATTATGAGACTGGTTAAACTGTAAGCAGTGAATATGTAGTCCTATTTTTGGCCCCATATGCTGCAACAGCATCATCTCTGGTATCTCCATCTGTGATTTTGTGAAGACATTTGTTGCCTATTTTTTCTAGCTAATATGATTCTTTAGAATGTAAAATAATATTATCTTCATTACATTTCTTGTTGTTCTTTCTATGGACTTCCTATATTGGCTAAGCTCATTTCCCCACACCCGCATATCTTGTCAGATCCCATTTCACCTTTTTCAAGGCTCTGTCATTCTAGTGAGAGGGGGGGAAGTGTCACTCATTTGGGAGAGGGATAGCAGATGTATTTCCTTTACTTCATTCTCTTTGTCTTTGATGTATCCCTTTTGGTGTGAAGAAGGGGGAGGAATGTGCTTTATCTGCACTCCGTTGTAAAGACGAGGCTACGCCTGGGAAGTCTAGCATTGCTCTTGTTCCCAAAACAATGTCACACCTGTGGATTGGCTGAAAATGAACTGGACAGTTGGACTCAAGGGAGGGGTTTGAAAAGGGTTATTTTAATGTAATATTCTGTGCAGAAATTCCTTTGATCTTGCCTTGCCTTTCTGCTTTCACTGACTCTCAATAAAAGTTCCTGTTTGAAACAATACCTGTTTCAAGAGTTCTGCTTTCTTGGGAGCACTAGCTGAGGCAGGACCTTACACATGTACTGTATATCCTTTTTTCAATTTCAAGCACTTTCACTACACCCACCCACTCCATCTCTCAACTCAACTTGAGGCTCCTCTCCTGGTGATAATCAAGCAACAAATCAACATTTTAACTGGGATTAATTTCTGTGAAATACTAATTTTCTCACTCCTGATAAGCATGTTTAATGCTCTTACATCAGAAATGGGTAACAAAAAAGGTTATGGTTTTTATATTTGGTATGGCCATGTTTTATTTATGAGCATTTAGTGTCAGTTCTCTGGGGATTATGTTATGTTATGGAAGAAGTTATGATTACTTTTGAAAGGAAGAGCTAAGAGTCTGTTCACCATGTGTAACCACATGGGTGGTTTGATCAGAGAAGAGGTAATCGCAGCAGGGCCAAAGAAATTTCAATATTTTGCTTTTCTTCCCTCCTTCAATGTTATTCCTTTTTCCCCAGTTTACAAGCTGCTTCAAATTTAACGATTCTGGGCATTAAACATGAGTTATGAATGCACATTGACATTTTGCATCACTCTCTAATTTACAACATGCTCTGAGCAGGACTAGGTATCCAGTGAGAAGGAAAAGAAAATCTGCACATTACAAGAGAAGCAAGGGAGAAAAATCAAGTAGCAAGGAGTTGAAGGAGTCTCTGCCTGCACATAGCTCTGACAAGTAAAGGATGAAAAGAAGCCAAAAGCTCAGCTTTTGTCCTCCGCTCCCCCCCCGGGGGGGTTTGTACCGGTTTTGTACCGGTAACTGCTGATACTGCTGGAAAGTCGGGCTGGAAAGTACCGTTCCAGCAGCACCTTCCTCCTCGCATCTGCCCTTCCTTTGGAAACTTCTGGAGCACGTTTTTGCGAAAGGTGTGCGGGGCCCCGGTTTGTCTGGTACTGCAGCAACCTGTTCGGATTTCAGTGGGGAGGCTTCTAAGGAGGCCGGGAACCAAGCGCCGAGGCAGAAGCATAAAGTCCACCAGCAGCCCCCAGATCCAGCGTGGGTTCCAGGTGAAACTGCTGCTATTGTTGCTGTACCGGTTCTGGTCCAACTGAAACAGAGTGGGAAGAGAGGAGGGCGGGAGACAGCATCCCTTCTTTCCTCAGAAGCCGCGACTTCCCTAAACTAAAACCGCGATCGCGCTTTTATGTGCACACAAACTTGATGAATCAAATGGGGGCACAAGGGCAAGGAGCCAGAGTTAAGTCGCCGGCTCAGGCCCTTATTCGCACAGCCCAGGAAATGGAGGGGGAGAGGGAGAGAAGACAAGGAGCGAAGCTCCCCCCCCCCGCGCGAAGCAGTGGTGGTGCCAGCATCACTGCCCATTGCTGGGTTTAGGAAGAAGGAAGGCAGAACTCCGGGGTGCTCCGCGCTAGGACCCAGCAAAGCAAGACGGCGCCTCCGGGCACTTTTTGCCCTGCGGAGCTCTGGTTCCAGCAGCGCGCACCATCGCCCGCTCGTCTCTTTTCTCCTCTCTCCTGCGGCTCCGCCCTTCCCGGTTCCTGGAACCAGTAGATGAAGGAACGTGTGCCTACTATAGCCGTTGCTTGCCTGCTGTCCGTTTGCTCGGGTGCGCGGATGGCAGCGCGCGCTCCTCCTCCTGCTCCTCCCTCCTCCCTCCTCCTCCCCCGCGACTAGCCCCGCACGCGGACAGACTGCTGCTCGCCTGCGCCAGCTTCGCACTCCGGTTTCCCCCCCTTTCGCGCGCGCCCGGGCACGCCAAGCCCGCTCTGGATCCGCTGCTTTTGTAGGGTTGCTCTGTGGTACTGGTGCTGCAGTCATCTTTCGGCGCCCTCCCCACCCCCACCCCGTAAGCCTCCCAAGTTTCCCCGTTCTCGAGCTTCCTTTCCTCCCTTGGCAAGATTTTTTCAGCCTCACCAAGTCCCCCTCTTACTCCTCCTCATTATCATTGTCATCACCACCGCCACCACCATCGCTTTCTCTCTCTTTATATATATATATTTGGAAGCTCCTTTGAGCGCCTCCCAAGGTAGGCTCCTCACCCTCTTATCTCCATCCAAGGAAAAACTCAAGAATTAGTGGCTTTGTGTATTGATCTGCACGAAAATGGGGAGGGGGAGATGTTAGTCTCCGTTTCCGCCTGTCTCCTGTGAATGTGCTTGTGCATAAAGAGGATTCACTGAACCTTCCGCTAATACGAGCCTCCTGTTTTGAGTAGATCCTTTTAAAAAAAATACTGCAACTTTGTGCTGTCCTGCATCTCCCGTCTTCATGAACGTGACAGGTATTGTCTTCAGTCAACCATGGTTAACATTTGGAAGATAGAAATTGCATTGGATTACAAGGATATCTGTAATACCCTTTCTCTTCCTTTCTTCTTCTTCCTCCTCCTTCTCTCTGTCTCATATATTTTGGAAAATATATAAAATTAGGGTAAATGTATAATACCAGTGGTGAAGTGATTAAATAGTTTACTGGATAGGGAAAAGTCTGGAATCTTTATGTTACAGAGAAGGGCGGAGAGAAAATAGTAGTAGTTGCATCTGTCCATATGTCACTTTTAGTTATGCATTGCATGTTCCAGCAACGCATGATCTCAGAGAAGGATGGCGATATAAGTTGTCACTGGGAGAAAAAGTGCTTCTGAGATCCCAAGATTTAAAGTCCTCCTTGAAGTGATGGTAGTTGAGTTGAACTGAAAGCATCAGTAGATAGATATATAAGCTAAGTATCCTCTCCTTTTTAGTCTTTAGGTTTTGCAAAGCAGCTGCTCTGAAGAGGAAGAAAATACCCTACATGATGCAGTGGCTTCTCATTTTCTTGATATGCTTTTCTGCAAGGTGAGAGGAAATTTGGATTTTCTATAAGCAATATATTGTTTTCTGGGGGTTGGTTTCTGTAAATGGCAGATATACAGAGATGAGTGATCAAAAATCATATTCCTAACATGAGCTTTCTAATTGTATGCAGAACAAGTCAAGTAAAGGAAGAAGTTATGGAGATGGTAAAATGCTAATAACCTTATAGTACACCTATGCTTTTAAATATCAAATGACATTTGTCATGTTTAGCCTAAAATAAAACAGAAATTAGTTTACAGATTGTTTTTCTGTTTCTGTATTCTTTAATGTTTTGCAATGATTTCTGGAATCATAGTGCTACTATTAATTATCCCAAGCCTGTCCACACAGAGAATAAGATTTTTCTAAAGTCCAGAAATAAGATAAAATAGGGAAGGTAATGGGGTATTTTTGTATACAGACCAGTATTTTTGGTCAAAATAACAGAATGGACTTGTTTAATCTGTAAACCTCTAGGTGGAGATAGTATACAATTCCATAATCCCATAAAATAAAACAATATGAATTATTAATCAACTTTTCTGGCTGCTGAATAAATGGCATTTCTAAAATAACAACATCATGTAGCACAATTTAAAGATGTTCATTAAATTAGGTGTCACCTGACCTCATTATGCATCCAGTTAATAGTGATTTGTCACTACAATTTTTGCTTGTAGATTCACAATCTTGATTGTACTATCATCCTAGCTAATGTATTTGAATATTTGTTTTCCTCAAATCTTTGAACTTCAAAGTTTATTGTAAAAATAAGATTTGGGGCTAAATAATTGGCTACATATTTCTGTGGTCAGAATTAAAAAGTATTTTCAATTTTATCCAACTAGCAAAGATATCGCAGTATGAGTTTGACCATAGAAGGCCTGGTCTTCCTATCTTTACTCAAGTGAGTAAGTCAAGGAACCAGCATGAATAACAGGAAATGATTCCTAATTTTTCAGAATTAGACTCAATGATACAGTTATTACAATTTGTGTACTAATTTGTCTATGGAAAAGACCTTCATTGAACACTTCCAGAAACATTTTTTTACACATTATGCATGGATTAATAATAGTATTTAGAATATGTTTTGAGTAACCTGTGGCAAATACTTTTAGATGATTACATGGAGATGATAAAGCAATATTAATGTTATTTTAATGTGATTCTGTTATTTGAAATTTGTATGTCTTTGTTATTTGAATTTGCATATTATGAGGTGCTTTAGCTTTTCAGTCTTAGCCAGATAGCAAAAGCATATTGTATATATTATTGCTTTTAGTAAAAAGAAAGGAGGGAATTAAATGATTTTTTGTTATTGCTATTTTCTTTTCCATTCATCTTCAAATTCATTCTGCATGTGATGTTTTTTATTTTAGGAAATCAATATACTTCTTTCACTGAAACCTGATTATTGTTTTCAATTACTGTTGTTGAAAATATTTTAACTGCAATAATGCCAATCTCGGTGGTTTTTTAAAAAAAACTGGGCAGAACTCTTATCATTTGCTTTGTCATCCTGTATGTGCTCATTAATTACAAACATGGAGGCTAATTCAACATGGGGAATTCATCTATGGCAAGGGTGTCAAAATGCCGGCCCATGGGCCGGTTGCATCATGTGGAAGCTGCGCCTACCCCAGCTCCAGCAATGCAAAAAAGGGCACGATATGTCACGACAGCTCACGTGATACAGCAAGTTTGGCACCCGTGATCTATGGCTTGTGAACCATACAGTCCCTAAATGAATACAGTAAATTTTTAGATGGTTTAAAGTAAAAAAAATGATATTCAACATCTTTGTACTGATTGTCCTTGAAGACATTCATTTGTACAGCACCAGTTGGGGAGTTCTATTTAACTCTTGTTTTCATAGGTAATTAGAAATAGCAGCATTGTGCAGTATTTTGGACTGCTTTATGCACAGCTTTTCTCATTCTGTTTCCAATTTTGCAAAGATCAGAAAAATCATGTCAACCTCTTCTTTTAGGGGTTGTTACCAACTACTTATATTTGTATAATTGATAGCAGTAAAGCAGATGGCAACATCTAGCTAGCTTTGATACATCTTGAAAAAACTAAACAGGGTTGGGTTAATACTTGGATAGTAGATCATCAGAAACCTTACATTTATAAGTTAGATTGAATTTTGAACAAATCCCAGAAGAAGGTAATAGAAGCCAGATTTGATTCCTGGTGACCTGCTGGACATGTTGTGCAGTTTTCTTAACACAAATATGGAGTGGTTCTCACTGTTTTCTCCTGGGATAGTGTTTTCCAAATTCTAATCTTGGCTATAAGTTGAAGACTTCCTGATCATCTTCCATTCAAGTATTGACTATACCTAATCCAGCTTAGCTTTTTCAACATCACCCAAGGTTACTGGTTACAGATACAGAGTGGAAAAGTATACATAATTTGAGTATTTAATATGGAGTAGAATTTACTGCAGGAAGTAGCAGGATTTAGAAACATTTAGAATGTTAAGTTTTAATATATGTGATGTTAAATGAAAGGTCCCATATCTAAAAAGCTATTGATCACTACATATTCAAATCATAATGAATGTACATGGAGCATACTTAGTTTATTTTTCCCCCAATATCTGTTAGATCAGCACTGGCTGACATCAATGAAGATGAAGCAAAAAATAACATTACCATCTTCACAAGAATTCTAGACAGACTTCTGGATGGTTATGATAATCGTCTAAGACCTGGACTGGGAGGTAATGAATAATTTGATTCTTAAGCAAACAAAAGATCCTATAATGTTGCTAGAATTCTGGGGTTTAATAATTCTGTTTACTAATGTTCTCCTAGTAGTAAAATTTCATGTAGGAATTTTAAGTTGTGGGTGAAATGTTGATCCTAGGTTCAAGAAATTGGTTTCCAAATCTTTTAAGTTTAAAATCACTTTTCAGTACAGATGGTATGATGTTCTTGGGTGAGTAGTACTTTCTGTCTTATATCTTGGATTAATTTGAAACTTAATACTATATATTTATTTGAGTATATATAAATTGCCCCAATGGCCTAATGTGGTACTTTAATCCTAACAGGAAAAGAACTTTGACTATTAAACTTTCTGCAGACCTGATTTCTGTCTGGGGCAGAGAGTCTTGGGGTGGGTGGGTTGGTGTCTGCCTTTAAAATCCTTTGGGGAAATATATTCTGCCTTTTTAATATTTCCCCAAATATTTCTTTCTCTGGATTCTTCCCACAGTACTTTTTTCAAGAACTTTATATTGTCACCTACATCAGCAACAGCAGCAGCAGCAAAAAAGATTTAAATGAAATATGCAATTTATATTTTTAATAGAACAAGAGAACACAAAATTAGGAGAAAAAAGGGAAAATTGCATTCTTTTGGTGTTAAAGAGTCAGTAGGTTAGAGAAAGAATTCTGTATATTCTGCAAAATCAAAATTTTGCATTTGAGTCCTCGAAAAGGTCTAAACATTGACTTTGCTGTTCAGGTAACTGTGTATTGATTTAATAATGAAATAATAGACTGATACATCTCTCCCTCTTTTGGTTATTTCTGGCATCACTGTATGAATAAATGATGATTCACAAATCTTTACTATATTAAAAAATAACATGCAAGAATTTTGTTTGCCAGGAATTGTGTAGCCAGTGATATAGGCAGACTTTTGTTTACAAGTGTAAAACCTTATCTCTTCTTCCAGAGGCCTCCTTGGCTCCTCCTTACTGATTTAAACTCTTCTATTGTCTCTATATGTCTTGTGTGGAGTTCCTACACAGGAGTGGAATAACTCTTTGTGATATGGCTATGCTAGCTTTTCCTGATCATATGGCAGATTTGCTGTAGAAATTATTACATGAGTGATTATATATTTTATACATTTGTTCACTTCTTTGATGTTTTTTTTGTGTGAATCATGTAATGCTTAGATGATAATTACTTTTTGCTGAGTTTATAATTTGAAGAATATGTGACCATGTGAGAGAGAACAGTGCAAGAGAAATTAGCTCCAGATTGCAATGGAAGGCTCAGTTTTACAGATTATAGACGTTTGAGAGAATAGAAGGGTCCTGTTTAGTTCTAAAAATTCAAAGCTGCCCTGTTCTCCTTGTAAAATATTCTATTTTGAGGGCTGGCCAGAATAGCAGTACAGTTGATTTGTAGTTATAGAGTTGTATGAAATATAGATATAGCCTCCATTAAGATCTCTTTTGCTCTGACAGAAGAGTTTGCTTGCCCTATCCTAATTTTCATCAGTAAATAGATTCTGTTCATTGTGAATAATTGCCTGGAACTGTAGTCAGCTACATTCTGTGGGTTCTTCCTCTGAGTGCTGGGTTTTGAAATGTACAAGTGCTGAATGTTGACATATTGTGCATACATTGTCCTAGCAATTTTCTTCTTTCTCCTCTGCCATTCCCATAGTTTTCAAACTGTGTTCTCAGAAGGAGTTCCTTACTGAGATGATGAGTAAAAGGACAACTTAGCCACTGCTATTAATTTGCAAGATAGTTCCTTGTTATAGCCAGGATTTTAGTTCTCCTGAAGATGAACAGAGCTGTCTAGCGCTTTATTTACACAGAGGAAGAATATTTTAATTATCTGGAATCCTTTATAACACACTGAGGATCTTTCAGCAGACATGTCAGTTTGAAAAAATAATCTTCCTGAAGCAGAAAGAGAGAAAATATCCTCATTGTTGAAAGATAAATAATAGATCTGCTACAGCAACAACTTTGGCATTCTGCATAGGAGAACATACATTGACATACACATAAAAAGAAAAAGGAAGAATACATGACTAGAATCAGGATCTAGTTTAGGGGACCTCCCTGCGCGCATCCTGCACCATGCAAGATCCTCTTAATGCAAAGTGTGTATATAAATCTTAAATCCAAGAAAGAAGAATATAAAGAAGTAGGTGATATAATAATTTCATCTCTGATTTGAGTCAATAATTAGTTTTTAAATATACCGCATCATCCCAAGTTTTCTGAGGCATTTCTATACAGATAGTCCTTGTTTAGGAACTGCCTTATTTAGAGACCATTCACAGTTAAGACAGCAATGAAAAGGTAACTTTATAACCAATCCTTACGTTTACAACCTTCACAGGTCTATAAAACAAATCAAAGCTGAAGTAAAATCATAAGCATAGATATGGTTTCATTTAGTGACTAACTTTGTTTAATAAACAAGTTGCTAAATGAGGACTATCTGTAACTCTATTGTGTGCTCCTGTAGAAAGAAAAATCCTCATCAGGGTCCAGTCCAAGCTGGGAATAATCAAAACGGAGACTGCTTTAGAAAGAAGGTTGCAGTTTATTGAATTGGACAGCCAGACAGAAAGATGGCTCTGGGAAAAACTGACCACATGTAGCAAGGAATGGTGGGCTTTTATGTCTCCTTTGGACTTTGTATTTGGAATTCTTCCTGTTAGAGGCTTTGTATTTCCTTTGTCATATACTTTGACTGGAGTCTGAGTGTGTCCTTTTGGTATTGGTGGGTTAATCCTATTATGTTTCCTGTCCTTAGAATTTGGGTGGGGTATGTAGATTTTAGGTTTGTCTTCCTAATCTCTTCAGTTTCTAGCTGGAAGGCTCTAACCTTACAGAATGGATTATTGAATTTGCATTTCTAAAAACTGGCCTCTGCCTAGGGGCTGGGGCTGGTTTATGTCTTTTTCTCCATTATTCCTTTGGGGAAATATATTCTGCCTTTTTAATATTCCCCAAAATATTTCTTTCTCTGGATTCTTCCCACACTCCTATTTAGGCATGATTTGTGCTTATCATGTTTGGCTGGAATCTTTTTTCATCCCCTTGGACAGGAAAGAACTACAGCCCAGAACAAAATAATTCTGGAAAAAAAATTGTAAAATGTTTGTTTTATATAGTATTTATTAGTACCATGGTAAAAAGTGTTTTAAATTTGATGAATTTGTTAGAATATGAAAAGAAAGATACTACTGTTATTTTGTAAGAAAGCACCAAGCCATTTTGAAAAAAAAAACCCAGTATTGTTCTTTATCAAAAAATATTAAAATTTTGTTAAAAATATCTGCAAACACATAAAAATGAGAAAAAATGTATATCTTATAATATAATAGTCTTATGTGTAGAATTAAACTATTTAAATTTAGATCTGTTGATTCAATAATAGTTATGTCCTTTATTTATAATGGAAATTAAGCATATAAATAAGTATATGTGCTGAAATTAATTCTCCAAATACAATTTTTGACAATGAAATACATGCTCACATATATTAAAAAGGCAGGTTTTTTTGGGCTAAGTACATTTGGTGGAAGACAGCATGTGCTTCGACCCTTATAGTGCTTTTTTTGCAACTGTAAGAACATGCAATAGCTATTTTCTTCTTCTGTTAGTTTCCAGCTAATGGATATGTAATTCAGGAGAACAAAGGCTTCATCAAGAATATGACTCCAAGAACAATCTTATCCTAATGTTGTGAGCACCTAACAGTGAGCTTAGCCCACCATCTATGTGTCTAATGGATTTAAAGCAATAGCTTTTTTAAATTAAACTTAAATTAAAATCTAAAAAACATATGACGTACAAAAATGGTTTTGCACTGAGGTTTGTGCATTGAAGTCTAGTTCCTTTTCCCCATAGCTATGCAAAGAGCATTTTAATTCTGTGATGCTATAGAGCGTTTTGAAACACTTTCAATTGTTGACTCATATCTAAATCTAAGTGCTCTTGTACTTTCTAGCATAAGTTATTTATACTGTGGCTCCTGAAATAATACAAATTCTATAGTTTGATCCTCTTGGTGGTTCTGAGGAATGTGTAACATAAGCTTATCTGAAAAATATTGTCCTCCTTCTCTAACTGACTATTGTAGTTTTTCAGAAATGAACCACAGAACCTCCAGCATTAGATTTTTGAAAGTACATTTAGAAATAAGGTAAAAGGTAAAGGATAAGGGTTTCCCCTGTCCACTTGTGTCTGACTCTAGGGGATGGTGCTCATCTTTGTTTCTTAGCCAAGGGAGCTAGCATTGTCTGAAGACACTTCCATGGTCATGTGGCCAGCATGACTATACTCCAAGGTGCATTAATGCTGTTATTTCAGTTTAGTAAATTAATATGTATCTCTATGTAGTCTCATTGGCTGCCAATATGATTAAGATCCTTTAATTAAAAAATTGGCATAATTTAGGTAGACTCTACTCAGTATGGTGTTCTGAACTAGCAGCACATATCTTTGTTCTGCTAGACAAACAACTAGTTTGATAGCTACAGAGCAGATCCCTGTAGCTATTTCACTCCTGGATTAGAAAAGCAGTGGCATGGAATCACCCTGCAGCTTCTTGGACCGCATTCCTTGGCTAGTGTGTGTGTGAATATTCAGAGAATTTCTTCTCTGTGGTAAGTTTGCCAAAGAAAAGGATTGACATCATGTCTGCCCAGCCTATGTCTCCAAAAACGCCTTTGTTTTAACTTCATTCTTTACAATGTTTTTTTTCTTTTTCTTTTTTGCATGTTAATTGCTGGAATTTAGATACTTTCCCTCCTTGGGACTCTAACTGATTTAATAACACTGGCGGAGTAGCTTGAAATAATTAATTGTTCCGTATGGAAAGACAAACGGTACAAGGGTTTTTTTTAGATTATTGAGAAAATGAGTTACTGATTTAACTATATTGAACTTCTACCAAAAAGACTGTATATATTATCAACTTGAAAAGACTTTATATCTTTATTCTATTGGTTCTG